AAAAAAAAAAAAAGTACACAAAGGTAGAAAGGCAACCTCTGGAACTGGTAAACGGAAGTCAGTAGAGACTTACATGATAGTAGTTTCAGAGAAGGAATGAGGTGATGGTGAGAATGAAACTGGACTTGCAAAGAATGACTACAGATAGCTTTTCTCAGAACATTTGTGCTTAAGAAAGCAGAAGCATTGGCTTGGCCCCGTAGCACAGTGGTTACAGCACCAGCTATATACATCGAGGCTGGCAGGTTCGAACCCAGCCTAGGCCTGTCAAACAACAAAGACAACTGCAACAGAAAAATAGTTGGGCATTGTGGTGGGCGCCTGTAGTCCCAGCTACTTGGGAGGCTAAGGCAAGAAAATCACTTAAGCCCAAGAGCTGGAGGTTGCTGTGAGCTGTGATGCCACAGCACTCTACAGAGGGTAACATTAAAAAGACTATCTCAGGGGCGGTGTCTGTGGCTCAAGAAGTAGGACTCTAGCTCTGCATACCAGAGGTGGCGGGTTCAAACCTGGCCCCAGCCAAAAAACTGCAAAAGAAGACTGTCTCAAACAAACAAACAAACAAACAAAAACCAAAACACAGCAGCATTGAGGGAAGGAGTGTTTGAGATAGGAGAAAATTGAGCACTGGAGAGTAGAAGGGGCCATGAGAAGAAAGCCTTAAGATACGGGAGGGGATGAGGATAATTGATGGAACAAAGTCTTGTAGGCAGAAGGATGGGGATTAAGAATACTGTCAAAGGGACTGGTCTTAGAGTAACATCTTTTTCCTACCAAGCAGAAAGGAGGCAAGCATGGATGTACATATTGGTTTAATGCTGAAGAAAAAGGGAACAGAAATGAGTTCAGACCTATTGTTTTGCCTTTGGTAGAGAACAAGGTCATCTTTGAAACATACAGGAAGGACAAAGAAGCTTGATGAGATAAAAGCCTTACAGCATTTGCTTTGTATAAAAGATGAGGGAGATGATGAGGTCAGAAAACAGTCTATAGAGTTCAAGTTCTTCCCAAACAGAAAAGGGATTTCAGGGCTCATATGTTCCAGTGGCCTATTCTTTCCTCTGCTTTTCCATCTCAGCATCAGTCCTTCTAGAACTCCTTTCCATTTATGCATTCCTGGAAGCAGGAAGAATTGTTAAGAAGTTCTTTGAAACTAAACAAAGCACATTGTACCATGTCCTCCAAATGTCCACAAGGAGGAACAAAACACCAACATCTCTATATTTCACTACTTAAAAAAGAATCAGCAATGTTGTCTCTGAATTTGTCTCATCTCAAAAGGGATAATAACACATCTGGAAGAAAGAAAAAAGATTGGTTGAATGATGTCATGGTTTGAAGGTTTGTATCCCCTCCAAAATTCATGCTGAAACTGAAATTCCCTGGTTCAGCACCCGTAGCACAGTGATTACAGTGCCGGCCACGTACACCGAGGCAGGAGGGTTTGAACCCAGCCCAGGCCTGCTAAACAACGACTGACAACTGCAACAAAAAATAGCTGGGTGTTGTGGTGGGCACCTGTAGTTCCAGCTACTCAGGAGGCTAAGGCAAGAGAATCACTTAAGCCCAAGAGTTTGAGGTTGCTATGAGCTATGAATGCCACAGCACTCTACCCAGGGCGACATTTTTTTTTTCTGTCTCAAAAAAAAAAAAGAAAGAGAGAAAGAAAGAAACTGAAATTCCCAATGCAATAATATTAAAGGTGGGGCCTTTAGGAGGTAATTAAGTCATGAGGGCAGGACCCTCACAAATTAGATTAGCAGCCTTATAAAGGGACTAGAGAGAACTAGCTAGGGCCTTTTGTCCTTCCATATTCCACCATGTGAAGAAGGCAGCATTTAAAGTGCTATGATGGAAGCAGAAACCAGGACCTTACCAGACACCAAACCTGCTGGTACTTTGAATCTTGGGTTTTCCAGCCTCCAGAAAGTGAGAAAATAAATTTCTGGTTTTTATAAATTATCCAGTCTCAAGTATTTTATTATAGTAGCATGAATGGCCTAAGACAAGCTAAGAGCCACTCAAGAGCCACTAAAGGACCAAAACTGTATAATGAACATCTACAGATGATACCTTGCAGTTTGCCAAGATGTTGCTAAATAGGTCTAGTCTAAAGTGTGGTTCCTTTTGTCTTTTACAGAGATCCGGAGATATTCCCAAGCAGAAAAGACTCCCTCTTAGGAGAAAGACAATGGCATTTACATTTAATGACTAGATAATGCAGCAACATCTCAGATTTTAGAGTAAAGCGCCACTACTTTATAACAAATGGAGATCTCTTTGAATGCCCATGAAATGTAGAAAAGGTCAAGAGAAAATCTTTTTTTTTTTTTTTTA